TGGTGGCGCACGCCTTTAATCCCAGCACTCAGGAGGCAGAGGCAGGCAGATCTCTGTGAGTTTGAGGACAACTTGGGCTACGAAGCAAGTTACAGAACAGCCAGAGCTGTTATGCAGAGAAACCCTGTCTCGAAAAACAAAAACAAAAATCCTATTGAGAATGCCACTTACTATAAAGCCAGATGCTTGTGTGCATTTGAGGATTTCTTTCCTTTTTAAAAGGGCAGATGGGGCCCTCTGAGATGCCTGATGACCTGTTTTGATCGGACCCACGTGGTGGAAGAGAACTGACTCCTTCTGACCACATGAGCCTGGTGACGAATTCTGCTTAGAGCCTGAAAGAGCCAGCCAGGCAAGGGACAAAGTGGTGCATGACAAAGAATTTTATTGATAAGCTAGCTGTTCACAAAATGACCAGTTAGAGGACAATGCTGTTGGAAACTGGATTATTTTCTTGAAACAGGTAACTGGAGACCGGGCGGCACCTTCTAACGGGTGATGTCGGTGACCAGGTATGCAGACCTGACCTCATTACTGGTCACAGATGTTTTTCAGTCCTGTAGATCTCAAGAACAGTAAATATTTCTGTTCAAATGGTCATTTCTTCGGGTTGTCCTTACTGATTAGTTGTGCAGAGTTCCTGGGATATTACACAGTGGACAGACTAGAGCAGGCAGCTGCCCAGAGGCCTGTTCCGGCCCAGCAAACACATAGTGGTGGCACACGCCTTTAGTCCCAGTCCTTCGGAGGCAGAGGCAGGTGGATATTTGAGTTCAAAGCCAGCCTGGCCTACAGTGTGAGTTCCAGGACAGCTAGGGGTATACACAGAGAAACCCTGTCTTGAAAACAAAACAAAAAACCCACTTCACCTGTGGAAGAAAAGGCCAGGCATACTGAGAGAAAGGAGAAGAAAGAGAGAAGGGGAGGGAGAGAGAAAGAATTAGATTTTAATGTTCTAGTTCAGAGTTACAAACTCAGCTTATGACGGAAACGCCCTAAGGACAGAAGGGCTCCCTGTGTAGTATGTGATGGGGACATTGAATCTCAAGGAGGACCCAGGTCTGTTTCTGCCCTTCCATGTGATCGACGCGGTAACCTTAGGAGGCTCAATGTGGAGCTTAGACCTTCTGCTCCCTCCCCTTCCTCACCTTCCGAGAAACCTGTGTGGAGTGGATCAGCCAGCAGGTCTGGCCTCTTGGCAAGGAGAACCTGGAGAGGACCTGGGTCCTGCCCTTGCAGGGATAGCTTTCCCACAGTGACTTCTCTGCCAGGTGGTTAGGGCATGACTTATGGAAGCAGGGGCTGAGGCTGCGTAGTCTGTTCTCTGTGTGGCCACTGCCAGGTGAAAGCCCAGTTCTTAATGCTCTCAGTCCATGGGGCTTCCTACCAGGGCTCCCTTCCTCCAGGGTAGAGCTTAGCTTCTGTCTGATCTATGACCACACGCACATATCACACATGTGTGCTGTTACATTCAAACACAATGAGGAGCCTGGATGAGGCTGGGAGGAAGTGTCCTTAAACATGGGGCTCCAAATGCAGCATGTACCTCAGTCGGGGGTGAGGCATGCAGGCATACTGGCTTTCACATCTCTGGGGTGACTTGCGTCACCCCAGATGAAGCTATAGACTGAGAACCTGTCTTCTGCAGCCGGAAGCCTGCTGTTGTCCTTGGATCACAGCCTGGAGAGACAGCACGGGGGCACTGCCAGCTCTGAACAGTGTAATTTCTAAGGTCCTCCAGGTAGACTGTGTGGCTCCTCCCAAGGAGAACCAGGACACGGGGGAGAGGGAGGGTACTAAAAACCAGGAGACTTGGGGCCAACTCTTGCTATGGCTGGAACAGTCTTGCACAGAGACCCTGCTGGTCACTTACAGGGTTGGCATGAAAGGTGCTCATGTCGGTTCCATCCTTTGTCTTTCCTATTGCTGTCCACTCTGCTCTGCAGTGCAGAGCTGCCCTCAGACAACCTGAAAGAAGTCTGGCAAGTGGGAGGAGCATCCTCCTGTCAAGGCCACCTGCAGTAGATGTGGTGCCCGCGCACCACCCCTTCATCTGCAGCAGATGCGGTGCCCGCACATTGCCCCTTCAGCTGAGGTAGATGTGGCGCCCACGCATCGTCCCTTCAGCTGCGGTAGATGTGGCACCCGCGCATTGCCCCTTCAGCTGAGATAGGTGCGGTGCCCGCGCATTGCCCCTTCAGCTGAGATAGGTGCGGTGCCCGCGCATTGCATTGCCCCTTCAACCACATTGCCCCTTCAGCTGCAGTTTTCCACTCGCCCCAGCTGCCTGGTTTTGTCTCTTTAAGCTCAAGGCTGGGGACAGATGCTCCACCTCTGGAGCAGAGACCTAGACTGAGGAAGCTGCAATCCCCACCCTCTAATGCCCGCCATTTGGTAAGCAGGCTCTGGACAAACTGTCCTCTTTCCTGGTACCACCAATGCCCTGCCTGGACCTGACCAATCTAGTGATTGTTTCCTCATTAAACCCTTCCAGATGCCAGCTTAAGATGTCACTCAACACAGGACGGCCCCCACCATGCGCCAGAATGCTGCTTCCCATCTCTGAAGATATCCAGCCACTCAGGGAAGTGAAATTAGAACCCAGGTCTCCTACCTCCCATGGCAGGGCATGGGCCTTATGTCTGGGAAGGCAGTAAAGTCTGGGTTGAAGGAAAGGTTCAAGCAAGAGGGGCTTGAATCCTCCTCCTGGTAACAAATATTCACTGTGGCAGCGAAGCATCCTGGCATCACAACCTACCAAACCACAAGCCTGAGCCAAGAGCATGGTGTCAGCTTCCCTGCCCACCACAGCCGTGACAAGTAGAGACGGGCTGTGAGCAACAGAAGCAACGGTGGCCCCTTCTGTGGGCGACCAACTTTCAGCTTCTTTTCCCACCCTCCCACCAACGAACAATCACAACCACTGCTGGGAACAGCCACAACGGTTTCCTACTGGCTACTCACTGCTACAGGATCATTTTCTGTCCTGAAATACAGCTCACTCTCCACCTAGATTTTGGAGCTTGACTTCCGCACTGGAGTCCACTGCGATTGTGTGTAGATGCTTGTGTCCGCATGTACACCTGAGCTCGGGAGCTCCCAGAGGCCAGAGGCGTCACATCTGGAGCTGCAGTTACAGATGGTTGTAAGCCACCTAATATGGGCTCCGAGGACCAAACTACTCTGGAAGAACAGTTAAGCACTTGTAACGGCACAGCCATCTCAATTCTACACTATGGCCAGGAGATGGCAGTATGAAGCAAGACACCAGCCATGGGACGGCACATTCCTTCTGCAGGTTCTCTGTGGGGTAGAGAGCCCATAGGTCTCAGGAACAGGTCATCCAGATAATCCAAGCACTTCCGCCTCCCCCAACCATCTTGCAGCCAAGAAATTTTCTTTCAGACATCACACAGACACCTTTTCCTTCAATTTCTGTTAAGTTTGGAATGGGATAAACTATCACTTTTTTTTTTTTTTTTTTTTTGAGAAAAGATCCCTGTATACCCTTGACTGGTTTAGAATTAACTGTGTAGACCAGGCTGGCCTTGAACTTGGAGTGACTCTCCTACCTCTGCCCCTCAAATGCTGGGACTACAGGTATCCATCAGTATGCCTGGCAAGAACAGACACCTTCTTAAAATTAATAATGAGCTGGGCAGTGGTGGTGGAGCACTACTTTAATCCCAGCACTCAGGAGGCAGAGGCAGGCGGATCTCTGAGTTCTGGGACAGTCAGGGCTACACAAAGAAACCCTGTCTTGAAACACCAACAAAAGCAATGAGCTTTGCCTATGTGCACGCCTGGCAACCACAGTAGCCAGGAGAGAACGTCGGCTCTCCTGGGCCTGGAGTAGCTACCATGTGGGTGCTGGGAATAAAGCCTGGGTCACCTGCAAGAGCAATGAGTGTTCTTCACTGCTGAGCAGAAAGCTTCTGAGATCCAGCCAGGGCTGGTGGTGCTGAGCTGCCATCTCTGTACTCAGGGGGCCGAGGCAGGAGCAATACTGTGAAAACCAGGCTAACCTAGGTCGAGACCCTTCCTAAGAAAATCTACACGCAGGTATGAGAATTTATCAAGACTTGTAGTCATGGAAAAGTGTGTGAGTGAGGTACCCACAGAGGCCAGAAGAGGGCATCAGATCCCCCAGAAATGGAATTAAAGTGGTAGCCACCTAATGTGGGTGCCCGGGGACTGAACTCAGGTCCTCTGAAAGAGCAAGTGCTGGTAACCACTGCGGTCTTTTCAGCCCTTTATCTTTGACACAGGATCCTGAAAAATAGATGAAGCCATGAACCCCTGCCTTAGCAGACCGGAGGTGGGTGTGGGGGGTGGGTGTGCACTTTTTAATGTGTTCTCCTGCAGGATCCTGGTGACACAGGCACTGGTGGGCACTGCTGCCCAGGAGAAGGTCTATGCTGTGGCCCAGCATAGTCTAGACTGGATATCAGTCAACGGCCTCCTGTGCTTTTGTCCCTCTCCAAGATTCAAGGTGACTTTCAAAGTACCTCGGTGCTCATCAGTACAAATCCAGATGTTACACCCACAAGCACCATTCTTATGTTAATATATATATGTATACACACACATACACACATACATACATACACACATGTGAGATGGGTGTGGTGATGCACACCTTTAGTCTAGCTCTGGAGGCAGTACGACTGAGTTCAAGGCCAGGCTGGTCTACATAGCAAGTTCCATGGCAGCCAGAGAGAAACAGTGATCCCCTATCTTAAAGAATTAAAAATCAATATATGCAAAATCTGGACAATTACTCCGATATTTAAACTGGTGGGGAAAGTGAGACACAAAGGGCCTTTGTGCACTAACAAGTCCATGAAAAACAACGAGGGCACACCTTTGTGAACTTGGAGAGAAAGGGAGAAGACGAACCAAACTAAAACGGGCTTCGACCCAAGTGAGCTATCGCCAAGTCCTGTTGGCATTGGCACGGCCATTCTTGGCCATGGTGTTTGAGTCAAGACTTAGCTTCCTATCGTATGTGGTAAGGTTTTATTTTCACGACATCTTTTATCACAGTGTTCTGTGAGGCTGAGACATGAGTGATTCAGAGCATCTTCAGGACTCGCCCTTCCCGTGAGTGCGCGCCCAAGCATGCCGGTACTCGGCCTTCCTCCCCAGGAACCCCCGCCTCCCAAAGGACTTCCAAAGACCGCAGAAGCAAGCCTGGAGCAGAGGTGCAGCTCTCTCCCCATGTTGATTCAAGCTGCCGCCCTCCCTGTGCCTGTCTGAAGTCTAGCCAAGACCTCATTCCCTGTCAGCCCATGGTTAGCCCTGGGAGAGGCAGACATTCTCAGTGAGGATAGGATCTGGACTAAGACAGCTATTATTAGTACTGAGGTTCGCATGCTCCCAAATGAGGACCCGACTGCTGACCCCATCTGTGACTGTGGCTCCCACGTCGGGCCGGCAGGGGCAAGACGGGATGTTAGAGCTGACAGAAATAGCAGCAGTGGTTACCGCCGGAATGAAAACCAACATGGCTCCTGCTCTCTTGAGGACAAGGACTTTGGAGATGACAAAGAAGGCCTCCTCTTGGAATTGTATCAGCCCATCTCTTCAAACCTTCAGGGAAGACCCCAAAGGTGGCTGTCCAAGGGGGAGCTGAGGACACTAAAGCCCTCACCTAGTGAGGCCTAGGGCACTTTTCACCTCCAGTTCTGCTGATCCAGGCAGCTACAGACACCTCAGTCTTGTCACCGGCAACTTCAAACAGGAAAACGCCATGCAAGTGGGCCGCCACACAGGCAGGTGGTTGGCTTTGAGTCCCTGCCTTAAGGTACCTCGACATGGACCACAATCTGGAAATCGGGTCCAGACACAGGGCCATGGACAAGGACCCTTGATACCCACGGTGCCTGCAGTCACCTTTAAAGACGCCACACTTCTCAATTCCTTTCAAAATCATGGACCATGAGTGGAGACATGAGCACAACCTGCAGACAAGGTGGAGCCCTTGACAACGGAGAACCTGCTCTCCCCATCAGGCCCCAGCTCTCCCTGAGTCCTATCACGCTTCGACAGTGTTAAGGCCTTTCATAGGGGTCAGGAGATCCTTTAGAATGTGACTGTGCCCATGTCCCCAACAGCTGCCAGTCAGCAGAAGGGTCGGTGAGTCCCCGGTCAGACTCCACACCAGGTGTCATTCTTCCACAATGAGCTGCACCATGGGTGGGCCACTGCTCTCCCTCCCCACCAGCCTCCCAGAAGAGAGGGTGGGCCTGAGGCACCACGGCTGTTGAGGCAGCAGCAGCCTGGAAAGGCATTTTTTTTTCCTTTTTCCTTTCAGGCCTTGCAGTTGGCAACAGGAAACAGAGACAGAGGAAGCTCAACTGAGGTCAAGGAGGATGGATGAAGAGGACAGGAAGTGGGAGGGCTCTCTTCCTTCTGCTGTGATTCCTGATGGGACACAGGCCAGTGCAGAACAGTACAGTGTCCCCAGGGGCCAGGAGGCCCTACCAGACATTCTCTGGAAACCCTAAGTCCCCAGCTCCCTGTAGGCTGGCGTCACCCAGGCAGGATGTCACATAGTCAACAGGCTTGGGGCAGGCCTGGCACTGCCCACTGAGCCACTAGGTCCCAGGCTTACAAGGTGGGCCCAATGGGGCTGAAGCCAGCAGGAGACGGGGAGTCACCTTTCATTAAACTCTGCTTGTCAGTCACTACAGGCATCTACGAAGGTGGCTCCCCCTTGAGATTCCAGGGCTGCCGAGGAGGTGCTAAGATACAGCAGGCCAGGGCTCCCTGGCCCCTATAGATCCGTGACCTTGTTTTCCACAGCAGCAGCGATCTGCTGGAGCCGGTAGCCCAGCTGCATCTTCTGGGCAGTGCCGTCCTCCTCCAGGGCGGTGATGATCTGGAAGACAGAAGCAACAGAATCAGGGGAGACGTCTCTGAAGCCCACGATGACTGCAGGTGGACTTCGGAGGGCCTAAGGGCTGTAACACAGTCAGGGGTAAGTACAGAGAAACCCAGTTAATCACCTCACTTATTGTCAGGGAGAAAACAGAACTAAGTCACCATGGCTGTTTTTCTAGGGTTTTTTGTTTTTGAGGAGGAGGTCTCAGTGTGGCCTTAAACAAACTTCCGGCCTCTCCAGTGTTGAGAATAGAGTCCAGCGTCACCACACAGAGATGCTAAAGACCAGGCAGTTGGAGACTGACATACTTTACTCATTACTTAACATTCTTTCCCTGCCCAGCTCATTTCGTGCAGGATCCAGCCTTACACACGCACTGGCCTTCCCGAGGGTCTGCTGCAGCCATCCCCACTGCCCTGCCTGCCAGCTAACGGCATATCATGAGTCTATGTGCCAAGACCAGGAGGATATGGTATGGGAGACAGATAGGCAAAAGAACAACCAAAGAACCACAAACAGGGCTGCCTCCCTCTCGCTCCCACAGTGTGAGACTGCATCACCTCTGCTGGGGCCCCCACTGCACTGAAGGAAGCTGGTTTACCTGGCTGTGGCCAGACCACTAGGCTGTGGGCCATGACACAAGCTCCTGGACTCTCACAATGTCAGGCTTATCACTGATACCACATGAATGTGGTGATTCTACTAGAAACTCATAGGATAACTAACAGGTACTTAGAACAAGAGGCCTGTTCAAGAGAGGGCCTAGAAAAAACCCTCCATGACTTTGCTGTACCTCATTCATTCATTCTTTGGTTCCAGAAGTCCAGCCCAGTCTGTACCCACAGAAGTGGTAATATCTGGGACAAAGCCAACCCTAGAATCTTCAAGGGATGGCAACTAAGTGGTCTTCTAGCACATCCCACACACCATCTCCAGACCTTTGCAAACTCTCTAGGTAGCCCCAACCACTACTACCATGCCTGGAAGCCATACTGCAGGACCAGGATGGGGAACTGTGGGGACAGGGAGAGCGGGGCCATCATCACTGAACCAGTCGATGGAGCCCCCCTCAGTTTCCCTAGGAGCAGACTGATAGCAAAGTCTGCCTTGCAGTCGGGGCCCGGGTGTGCTCACCTGGTCATAGTATTTGTTGATATACTTGTAGAGTTCGTGCAGAGCCACGCGTGCCCCAAGGTCACCGGAGTAGTTCTGGGGAAGAGGGCAAACAAAAGGGGAGAGAAATGAGAAGGAAGTGAAGGGGGGGGGGGGGAGACCCAGGACCCTAGAGAAGGATGAGAGCAGAGAAGGGGACCTGAAAAAGAATGGGCCCTGTGGTGGGAAGCCTCTATATAGGGCAGGACCCGAGATTACAGCTCAGGCCAAGGCCAAAGACCTCCATGGTAGGGTGAAACCCCAGGAGTAGTTTTGGCAGGGGCTGGAGTTTGCTCTGGAACCCACCTGCCTCTCCCAGGCGAGGCTAGAGCTAGATAGTTCTCCCATTCAGCCCACGTGACTTCAGGGCCATGGGACTGGCTGGGAACTCTGTGTCATTTTGCTCTGATCTTACTCAAATGTGTCCTGAGACCAGTCCAAAGTCCTCCATGGGGACATCAGATACTCAGCCTCTTTCTCTTGACAGTAATGCTGATTCAGCCTCAGTAACTCATGGAGATCTTAGGGGATCCAGGGCAGAAGCACACCCCCATGAAGGGCTTGACACAGCTGTATCCCAAAAGCCCAGCTGTCATTGGTAGTGTGGGTGTCCTTGTAACCACTTAAGGAACACTGTCCCTCGCTCCTAATGTTCTCATGTGGGTGCTACAGGTGCCACATGGTAGCAGAGCAGTGGGCAGGACGGGTAGGTGACTCAAAAGGCTCAGAGCTGAACACCACCTACTCCACAGATCCTAGCAAGGGCTACAACTATACAAGCACCTGCTTAGATCAGATTAGGTGACAGCTATCAAAACGAGACCCCTGCTCACTCTGAGATGCTAGGTCTGGCCTTTTGCAGTAACACCGGAACACACTGTTCATATGGCGACAGAGTGTGTGTCCTCTCCCAGCCAGATCACAGAGGTATAGAGGTCACAAGGGCTTTTCTATAGTCGAGACGTATGAAGGGAGACCTTACCCGGGACAGCTCGGCTAGGACCGAGTTCATCTCTTGGTCACTGGCCGGGACGGTCTGTTTGATGTCTGTATAGTATCTGCCAGAAAGCCAGGGACAACACGTGCTAAATAAACCAAGTCCATTTCCTTGGTGCCACCAGGGCTCACCCAGGGCCTCAGCTGCACACACCCCCGCCTCCCCAGACCCACTCCTTCCCCGGTACCTTTCCACCATCTGTTTGTAGCGGGGAATATCTCGGGCATACAGAAGCTTGTTGATGGGAGAATCCTAGACACCAGCAGGAGGGCAGCAGAGAGGAAGGAAGGGTCAAAGTTCAATAGCGTGATCAGCACCTGGGGTCTGGCCAGCACCAGTTTTATAACTAAACGACCCACATCCCAGGACCCTCCCAGCAACCAAGAAACCAGGATCATTGGTCACCCTAGCCTACTTCCTTGTTTTTGTTTTTTAATTTTTATTTTATATTTTATTTTTTTGTATGCATGTGTGGAGGTCAGAGGACAACGAGCAGGGGCTGGTTCTCTTTTTATACCACATGGGTTCCAGGGATTGAACCAGGTCATCAGACTTGTCAGAAGGCGCCATTACACCACGGCCCTGGCCCGGGGACCCCATGTCAGAAGACTCTTGAGCTGTGACTCCTAGGACGTTGTCTGGTGTTCTGCCCACAGCCTCTCCCCAGCAAGCTGCTGGTTCTTCCCCAGACTCTTCCTTTCACACCACTGACAAAAGAGCTCCAACGCCCCAAGAAACCAAATCTGCTAGGCATCTGGGGGATTGATCTAGGACTGGGGAATCCATGACTCCACCAGGGACCACTGGTGACCCCCTGCAACTCCTCGGGCTCACCCCCAAACCTGAGCTCACCATCGTCTGGGGCCTGGGAGTCTTGCCTCACCCTTCAACACCCACATCGCTAATCCACACCTGTACCTTTGCTGGCTTGAGCTGGCCTCTGCTGCCGGACCACAGGCTAGGCCACCTACAGGTACCTGCCAGGAGTCGCTGCCGAATCACACTGTTTCCTGTGGCTACTGCCTGCCCTAATGGTGAGCCCTGACCAAGTACTGCTACACAGGACTAAACATCAGTCTGTCACCACACTCCACCCCAACTATGGGGCTACACCTACCTCCATCTCAAGTCTGAGCTGACACAGGTGCCACACCCCCTCCCTCCTCTTATCCCCTGAGATATGACTATGGCCACCTTTTGAAGAGACTGGGATGAGGCCTGGTGTGAGAATGCCTTAGGTTAACGGCTGCCCCCCAACCATCATCACCTTTCCAACTATGTCAAGAGCCTGAAGCTCTGTGCACCCGACACTGTCCACACCCACTTGGGCCACCTGGGTAAGCCCAGCCTGCTCACCCTGCCCAGTTTGTGGTCGGCCAGGGTGCAGGCATCCATGAAGGTCTGTGCAATGACGAGGAGCACCGCGTCCATGTTATCAGATGTCTGCACATCAAACACGAACTGCGGGTTTTTGATGATGTTGATCCAGAACCTCAACGGCAGGCTGCAAGTCGGGGAGAAGGGGGCCGGTAACTATGCTGGGGAGCCAGGAGGCCCTCATGTCTGTTCTGAGCCCTGCTCCTCCCACACCTGTTGGTCTTCCAGATGTGGATGGTATCCTGGTCAGAGATGCCGTGCTGCTGAGCCTGTTCATCCAGCAAATCGAAGAAGTACTTCACAGCCAGTGGCACAGGGCGGCTGGTGCTGAGAATCACCTGGAACAGGTCATCCACAAACTTCTGCAGTGTACCCTGCGGGAAGACAAGGCAGCTCAGAGCCCAGGTAGGAAGGAGACCAGCAGCCACTCCCTTGTACAGGCTCCACACCACCCGCCCCTACATCCTCTGGGTCACTGTTCTTCCTAATAGCCCAGTCCTACCTTCATGGACAGCAGGCGTGTTAGGTAGATCTCAGGAATAGCCTTGGCTCGCTCACGCTCCCCGCCCCGAAGACTGCCCCTCCGCGGCCTGGGAGGCTCTGGCTCCTCACTTGGCTTTACCAGGTGCCAGGGGCGGATGCCCCCCTCATCTACATCCTCCAGCATTGGGGTCCCTGTGCCAAGATGGAAGAGTTGGGTGCCCCCTACACGGTGCTGCCACCTTTTTGGGAAGCACCTGGCTGGGGCTCCTCTGAGAAAAAGAGACACAGGCCCTCCCTCCGTCTGAAGGGCTTTCCCTGCCACCCAGGACTGGACAAAACTAGTGCCCACAAAGAGGAGGAGGTGGGTACTCACGTTCTCCAGGGACATAATCTTGGTTTTCCCTAAGAACATGCTTTGTAAGGCAGGGGACGAGGGCCACCGTTGCTCCGTCTGGGACCTGCTAAGCACAGCTGGTGACCCTCCCACCAGTCTGTGCCCATCCTATCCAGCCTCCAGCTCCCACCCCTCCCACCTTGTAATGCTGCAGGGTATTCAGACGCCTCCACAGACCCTGGATCTCGGAAGTGACATCCTCATCAGAAAGGACGAGGTGCCCGGCCACTCCGGACCGCCATTCTGCAAGGACAAGAGAGGACCTGGCTCAGGGCTTTCAGCATCCTCTTTCTGCCACGCAGCCCATCCCATCCTAGGAGACAAGGCCCCTCCATCCTCTCCAAAGAGCTAGACCAGAACCCTCTCCAGGTGAAAGGTCATCTGGTAATGTTCCAGAGCCAGGTTTTGTAGCAACTTCCAACATCCCACCTGCCCTCACAGCACCAATCTTGGGCTATCTCAGGGTCCTCACGCCACCTTGCTCCCGCCCTCACCAACATCCAAGGTGCGAGAGTCTGGTCGCTGGGCAAGGGGCAGTCCCTTATACAGCTGGTCAAGCATCTTCTCCTTGGCCTGAGAGATGGTGTCACAGTCCAGGACTTTCACGGGTATACCCTGGGCTTCTCCTGCCCCAGGCCCCACAGCCAGAAGAGCATTTAAAGTCTACACAAGAAATGCGAGTGATTTCAGGACTGGTTCCACAGGCAGGATGACGGTCAAGGGCAGGGACAAGACTGCAGGCTCTGAGGCCAGCCCAGCACCATGCAGTCCTTACCTCCTCCCCCGTCTGCCTCCCTGCTTGATGCAAATGCTCACAGGGAGAATGGGAGAATCCCCAAATGAGCACATAACCCTCCATGTCTCAAATAGTCTCCCCCTGATGTGTTAGCTGTTCAGCAGACTAGCCGGGAGTGGGTGACAGGGAAGCTCCAGGCAGGCCTGCCTGCCAAGTGGCTGACTTATGGGACAAGATTGCATCCCTAGTGAGACGGCAAGAAAGCTACTCCGACCCAACACGGATCGTAAGTCAGGACCCTCTGAGACTCCCACCTCAATCCTTCCACGCTAGGGTTGTGGCTCAGTGCTGGAAGAACGCTTGCTAATGTATGTGAGGCCATGCGTTCCCACTACAATAAATGAATAAACAGCCCCTCCAGCAGGCAGCCAGAGGTCAGAGAGGATCTACATCCAGGTACAGACGCCAGAAGCCAGTGGAAACTGATGGTGTAGACCAGACATACGGACACCTGCCCAGAGCACACCCTCACCAGGGGACGGTACTCCACATCCTCTCTGAGCAGGCGGTTGTCATTCAGGGTGTACTTGGCTTTGCCAGTCACACTGTCCACGGGACCCTTGTCCACTTGATGCTTAATCCCTCGGAAGAGCATGTACAGAGGCTCGCCCACAGAGTCCTGTGGAAGTGTGGGCGGTCAGGGCCTCTGGCAGGAGGCGAAAGTACACGGGGCATGTTGGGTAAGGTCTTGTCTCTGGCAGTAGTAGGCAAGCTACATGGGCTGCTGGGGACTCAGTGTCCTAAAGGGCCCGACCCCCCCAGTGAAGACCTGTGGGCCCCGCTCTCACCCGCACAAAGGTGTAGAGGCAGATGGACATCCAGTTGGTGAGCAGCTTCTCCACCACAGTCTCTGTCCTGAGACAGCAGCAAAGGGAAGGCCAGGGTCAGCAGGGGGCTACAGGGCTCTGTTCCACAGATCACCAAACTCAAGACCCTGGCTCTACCTCCCGTGCTCCGGCTGTACTACACCCTGACAGCCACATACCTGCGCAGCATCAGCTTGGGGTTCTTGGCCACATATTGGGCCACCAGGTCACTAAGCAGAGTACGGAGGATGTCAGTGAAGTATTCGAGCTTCCCGTGAAGCGCAACAGTGAGCAGAGATGCAACATAGGCACGGTCCCGAGCAGAGAAGGTACGCTGGCTCTCCAGCGTGTGGATGAACTGAGGTCAGGGAGGGAGGAGAGCGAGGGGTGCGCTTTCAGAACAGGCGGAAGAGACTAGGGCCATCCAGTTAGGAGCAAGGAGGGATGGGGAAGCCGGGCGGGGAGTGCACCTTGGTGAGGAAGAGCTTGCTGTTAAGCAGGTTGGAGAGCTGCCCCAGGCCCTGTTCCACAGTGGGCCGCCTGCTGTCAGGGACGCCGAGATCCCTGTGCAAGGGTGACTCCCGGTGCCCTGGGAAGAAGACCCTCTCTGCATACACCTTGTAGTCAAGGAAAGGGATGCCGCTGCCAAGGAGGTCGCTGGTGAGATCAGTCATCTCAGTCATGAGGTCTGTTGAGCAGAAAAATGTCAATGCATCCCTTGTGACCAGAGCAGCCTCGGGCAGAGCCCTGCGGCTACTCCCACTCAGTCTCACCTGTAAACTCCTTCTTACAGCGGTCCCGCACACTGCTCTCCAGATTCTCCAGCTGGATCTGCACTTTCTTATAGTCCCTCAGGGCCTGCTTGCTCTTTCTTCTACTCAGCAAGGGCAGAAGGGAAAGGCCAGTCCTTGTTGGGCTTGACTTGGCTCAGACCTGCTTATTTTTACTCCAGGCCAACCCCAGTCAAACCTGATCCAAAACAATTCATCCTGTCCCATTTATCCCTCACCCCTGTCCCCAGCAAACTCCAGCTACGCCATATAGGCCCACAAGTTGATTTTATAAACTCAGTTTGTTAGAACTCGGCTATAATCAATGGTTTATATATTGCTCATGGCTATTCTTATGCCCACGGGAAAAACGTGAGTATTGTGGGAGACCACCAGGCTTGTTGCAACCATTCCTAGAGGTCTGATCGTTCATGTAAAATATCTGCAGAGGGGCACTGGAGAGATGGTTGAGAGTACAGGACCCACATGGCAGCTCACAACTGTCTGTAACTCATCGTTCTAGGAGATCTGACACCTTCACACAGACACCAATGCCCATCGGATAAAAATAAAACCCGGGCAGTGGTGGCGCATGCCTTTAATCTCAGCATTCTGTAGGCAGAATGGATCTCTATGAGTTCAAGGCCAGGCTGGTCTACCGAACGAGTTCCAGGACAACCAGGGCTACAAAGAGAACCCTTTTCTTGAAAAAGCAGAACAACCTCTGCCCGCCACGTTGCCCTGCCCGTCATAACTGGTGACACCCACCTGTAGATGAGAACGATGATGATGACACCCAGAGCCAGGAGAGACGTGCCCACTCCCAAACCCACTTGGGCCGCCACGGGAAAAGCCACAGGGCTCTCGCCATCATACTGCACACGACCCAGGGAGAAGCGCAGGTTCCCCATCTGTACCTGTGTGGGAAGCGATGTGTGAGCCAGCACCCCAGACGCCACGAGGGCCAGCTGTACCCAGGCTCTGCCCACTGACCGTGAACTCAGGCAAAGCGTCTGGTGTCTCCTGGGAGGCATGCTGCTGTGGCAGGGGCTGCTCCACAGGGGGCTCACAGTACAGGTGGTGCCGGGTCAGTGTCTTCACCACACAGGGGCCATCTCCTATCATGGCCACCACCTCCTCCTTAGACATAGCGAGGTCCAGATTCTCCCCCTGGAACATAGGGTCACTGATCTGTTACTCAGAACACTTGCCACCTGGAGCCCATCTTCCCGAAAGGACAGGTCGGCCAGGAGACCATCGCTCCCTGCAGGCAGAGCCCATGGTCAGAGATGGCCTTTGGATTGCCACCTTAACCACCTGTGCTTCCTACCTCCTCAGCTGAAACTACAATGATTCCCCACACCCTGGGCAGTGAACTGTTGAGTTACCCTCGGCTAGGGGATGATGGATCATCTGGCTCTGACCTGTCCAAATGCCCACACACTACGTATGTACCATGTGTGTCATAACAAGCATCTAGGGTCATCCGTGTAAGCCCAGTTGCCAAATAATGATCAGCCAGTTACCTAATGTGTACCCAACTACTGAATAGAACACAGATACCTTCGTGGAGTACAGGGACCCAGGCTACCAAACGAGTCTCTGCCATGACCTAGACTGGCACCTGTCCTGTACCGGCCCCCTTCTGGGCCTGTTCTTTCAACTCTGACCTGTCTAGCACACACATACTATTCTCCTACAAACGAGCCGAGAGAGGCACATTACCTCCACAGAGAACACACTCCCTGGCTTGTGTCGGAATGGTGCGGTTGTGTCCTCGGGGTTGAGAGAACGTAATGTGGGGTCAGCCTCATAGGAGAAGGGTGTGGGGCTCAGTGCGGCAAAGTCGAAGACCACGTTGTCCAGGATAAACTCCACCTGGACCCAGGGGTCCTCTGGCGGGCCCGGGAGAGCGGGTGTGCGGCACATGATAAGATGGGAAGAGTTCACGAGACACGGCTCCTCAAACTGTAGGGGAAGATGAGAGCAGGTGCAGCTGTGCAGAGGTGGGAAGCATCTCCTCTGGGACTAGCTTCTCCATGGCTGCCCACAGATGAGGGGAGAGATGGCCAGCCTGGTGGGAGCAGGGGAGGCTTGTGGGCATGCCATGTGCTGGGGGCTCTAGAAGAACATACTTTCTCAGAAACCCCATGATGCCTCTGTCCAAGCCCCTGGTCAGGCTGTAGCATTCTTGGGACCACAGTTACGCGGATTCTTGGCATCTGCACCACATCCAGATTCTGGCCACGGACCCATATCTCACGTCCTCCACTGAAACACAGCCAAGGAGCCGTTCATGACTTACACAAACCAGGACCTAAAGCGTAGCCCAGTCCTAGCCAGCTTACTCCCAAACCCAAATTCACAGCCCCCATTCCCAGAATCCCACCTCTCCCACCATGAGAACTGAAAGACTTTCCACACATGCTTTTGGCCCCACACCTGAAGAAGCTCTTGGTGGGGCCCACAGAGGTGATGTTAGGGTCCGATGTGTACTTGAACTGGCCGTGTTGCAGTGTCCGCTCAGTGGTACCAAACCAGACAGCCACTGACAGTGCAGCAGGCACAGGGTACGGGCTGGTCTCACAGTATAGCTGCTCAGACTGCTGGTCCCGGAGCCTGGGAGGGTAGAAGACAGGCCAGACCCAGGAGTCGGCGACCTGCTCAAATCTTGGCTCACTTTACTTTCTTAGCAACCACAGATTCCAAGTAGCCCTGACATACTTCTCCCACAGCCCTGGCGTTGGCACCGCTAGCCAGAACTTTCTTGTCGGGCAGCCTTGACCCATTCCACACCGGCTTTCCCCACCACCCCAACTCCTCCCTGGGCACCATGGATTTTGTATAACAGGAAAACAACCCTTACAAGTGGCAAGGCTGGTCACCAATCACCACACGGATGTCCTCTAGCCGACCAGTCAGGAGCTTAGAACCATGAAGGGTGAGGCGGGTGCCTCCGGCTCTCGGGCCGTGGCCTGGGAAGATGGAGTGTACTTTTGGATCCTGGGGGGGTGGGGATGACAGGCAAAGTCAGGCCAAAACAGAGGCCGGGGCGCCTCAGACCAACAAGGCAGCCTCAGGGTGGGGCGCTCTATGAAGGCAAAACCAAACGGGCTAGGACACCCACAGAGGGAGAGGCCCGTTGGCAGCTGGGGGTTGGCTGAGCAGTCAGGCACCTGGTAGGCAAAGTTGAACTCTGAGACACTGTGTCCTCTTCCAGCCACCTCCACTGCCACAGCGCCTGTCACTTCCTCCCTGCTGGTCCCAGTGATGCACACAAGACTGAAGAAGGCACAAGACAGGCAAGGGCATAGCAGGCTAGACAGATGTCCCTCAGAGAGACCGGGCAGATCCTCTCCCTGCCACTGCCCAGGTGATGTGCTGTGCCCATCCCCCGTAAGATAGGCCAGCATCCCCTCTGGCTTTGGCGAGAACTCCCTACAGCACACTCGCAAGCCCTGGCATCAGAGAAGGCACACTCCTGGTTTAATCACGCAGGTACAAACCCCAACAAGGAGGAGCCTCCCTCTCTGACGTGACAAAGGAGCTCAGGGAGCCGATTGTGGTGGGGCCGCTGAGTGAGTAAGGGGGCTCATCAGCCACCCCAAGCGCCCCACCATCACCGCATGGTCAGCAACCACTTGCAATGTAATGGAAACCTGACCTGACCTTGAACAAAAGGTCCCTGAAAGCCTCGTTCGGGACTGGGGGCAGATGTGAGCAGTCGAAAAACACTGGTTCTTGGCCAGAAAACAGAAGCCTGAGGCACATTAACTTCCAGAATGCTAGGCCTACAGTGGCTAACACTGTCACGGTCAAGTGGTGTGAACTAGCCAGGGAGGCTCCAGCCATACTCTATCTTACACTTCATAAATCACCCAAGCCTGATGCTTCTAGAATTATTAATAGTCTAGAAGCTCTGGGGTTTTTATTTACCAAACATCTGGAGGCAAAGTGCACGCATGCACAGTGACCCCTCGTTTAAAATAAACTGTGGGGCTTTGCAACAGCTCTTCTGAGGGTGCAGTGAAGAGGTCACCCTAATATCCTGCCAGGTTTGGGCCCTGCTGCTCATGGGTGTCTCCTGGACAACGTTCCATATTCGCCTGTGGCACCCTGGAGATGTCCCACAGGAGCCCCTCCCAAGAGCCTTGCCAGGGTAGGTCTTAGAGAAGAAGGGCCGGGGAGAAGGCTGCTGAGGAACCCGCGACAGGATATCCAAGGCTACTGAGAAAGCAAGAAGTACATCTCAGCAGAGCCATCAGCAAGCTCCAGGCAGCGACTCTGCCCAAAAGACCAGAATCCCCAAGCAGCTCAGGCTAGGGACCTGAACCAGGTATGCACAGGAAGCCAGAGTTCCAGGCCTCCGTGGTAGCCCAGCGCTAAGACACCAACACCATAATCAAAGACGGGAGAAAGGGAAGCAGACGAACAGAGGAAGGAGGCCCTGGACAGGAAGCCATCTAGCCACAGCGTCCTCTCATGTTGGGCCCAATCGGCTCACCTGCTGGAGACCTCGTATTCCCCAGCATCAACAGCACAGGGCACTCCAGCCACTCTGACCATGTCCAGCACATCCTGCACCTGCTGGCCCAGGTTGGAGCCCCTGATGGTGACACGGGTGCCTCCATCTATAGGTCCAGTCAGTGGCTCCACCTATTCCGGGACAAGGACACTGTCGGCCTCTGTGGTCTGAGGCGATGCATGACAGACCTCCCTCCAAGGGCAGCAGTAAGGGAGGAGACACGCCAGCATTCCAACATACCGCCAGCATTCCAACATACCGAGTGAATGAGAGGCGCCGGGCACTGAGTGGCCACAGTCTCAGCCTCATGGCAGGCTTCCCGAGCCACACAACGTGGATGCTCCCCTTCACACCACACACAGCCATACTGGGGCATGGCAGTTTGGCAGCGGCTGCAGTCGCCATGTCCCACGGAGCAGTCATAGAGTACCACTAGAGACAGCAGGAGTGACGTGTGATGGTGAGGCCTAGCAGAGCTGATACCACCCCGCCTGCCCTGTGGTCCCTGAGCAGCTCACCATACAGCCCGTCAGCACTGTCCACACGTAGGCCACCTGCCCAGCGCAGGAACAGCCCCACCTGGAGTTCCGGCTGCAGAGCCTTATAGCTGAACTGGAGAAACGGGAGTGAAGTTATGGTTTGGATCAGGCCTACAGAGGGTGTGGCTTAGGAAAGGACCAAAATGACTAGTTATCGGAGCAGGGTTGGAGGTCAGTATTGGAATTCTGGGATCCCAGAGTAAATGGACAGGATCAGCAATGGAATCAGAAGATAGAACCCCTGAGACATCAACTTAGAGGTCAGGCTGGGAAATGGGGACCCCATGAGGCACATGGCACAGCTGGGGTAGCCATTTGTTTCGCAGTGTCAAAGCTTAGGCTGTGACAAGCACAATGTAGCCAGCTGAGGTTAACAGCCAGTCTATGCCCACCCAAGCTCCTGCGGTCCGCACCTGGTGCTGCTGGCACTTGATGTGACACCAGGCACCTGGAGGTGGTTCACACTCGACCTGGGCCTCAACCGCCACCTCAAGGCCCTCCAGCTCCATCACACACTCGCTGTTCCGCGGGCCATCCTGGGGGTAGAGAACATGTTGTTGTTCAGGCCGCTTTAGAAGCTAGACCCTGCAGGCAGGCCACAGTGCAGGCTCTGGTACAGCCCAAGATGGGAAAGAGAGCTGGGCCTGGCGATGCTCTCCTCCTGGGCAGAGCTGGTCAGTAGTCAAGCAGTCTGAGGGGAAAGAGGTCAGCTGGACAGCAAGCACACCTGGAAGAGCCACAGGTTCCTGCCGCGAAGCTGGACTTCTCGCTCCACATGGACTGGTATCAGCAAGGAGCCTTGAACATTCTCCACACAGGGGCAGGAGCTCACCCTTTGACTCATCTCTCCCTGCGGGCACCGACAGTGAGGCAGTCTGTGGCTCCCACCCTGCCCACCTCGGTCCTCTACCTTGCTTGACTCCAGAGGGCAGTCCTCTGTCCCCACCCTCCCAAAGCAGAATCACAGGGTGAACCACCGGCTCCATCTTCCCATCCCCTCCCGAGGCCTCCTTCCTGGGCTGGACCTCACCAGCTCCCAGAGCCCGGGGGTGTCGTACTGGTAGTCGAGGCTGGACAGGAGGATGAGGGGGGCAGGAGAGCCCTCGCGCTCTGCTGAGTCTCCATCACCTGAGAGGAGTGTGGAAGTGGAGAAGGCGGGCGTGTCACCACCCGTCCACTCATCCGCCTCGGGCAGCTCGCCTCCTTCTTTCATGAGCCAATCCAGAACAGGCTTCATGGAGCCAGTGGCCCCTGGGAAAGTGGTGGCTGGAGCAGTGCCAGGGGGCTGGTCCAGAGCCACCGAGGAAGGCAGGGCCTCAGGGCCAGGCTCTGCAGGGGACACGGTGGCTGCATCTGAGGGGAATGGGTAGGAGGCCGAGAGGTCCTCAGGTGTGGTCACTGGTCCCAAGTCAGTAGGGGCAGGGACAATGGTTCCAGGTGTGGTAGGGAGGTCAGGAAGGAGGGGCTTCTCATGCAGAGGTGTCTCTGTGGACGTAGGGGAAAGTATGGGGCCAGGACCCACCCATGGGCCCCAGAGGCTAAGCCGGGAAGGCCTGGCCCCAGGTAGGACATCTGGAGTTATAGAAGGAGCCCTAGGCTCCGCTGGGAAGGTGGTAGGAGTAGGGGTGACCATGGCTTTGGGGACTGTGGGTGGGAAAGGGGTGAGTACATCCCTTGCAGGAGGAACTAGGGACAGAAGTGGGCTCTGAGAGGGAAGGCCAAGAAAGCCAGGAAGGGCCACTCAGCAGGCAGGTGCAGGAGCAGGCAGGCAAGGGGATGTTAAGAGGGAAGAAGACCAAGGAAAAGAGAAACAAAAACATCCCATTAATTCTCTAAAGCAGAAACACAGAGGGCAGGCTCCAGGGGGTCTGTGCTGAGGTGGGGAGCCAAGGTCACACCTCTTGCCTCTCAGCTTAAATGTCCTCTCCCAAAACAGATGGGATGGACAAGCAGCCATGCTCCAGGGTGTCTGTCACACAGAGCAGGTGCTCAGGACAGAACTTCCCTGGAGGCTGGCAGGCACACAGACCCCAGGCCATCAGAGAACCTCACCCTACCCCCAACAGGCCTCATCCTCGAGTCCCACTCACCTGCTGGCTTGCCACCATAGGCCCGGCGTCACATGAGGCCTTGTGTGTGCACAGGTGCTGCCACACACACCAGTTACACCCCCAATGGCTGCTCACACAGGCCCGGCACCTGCACATAGCATAGTCATGGAATGGAGGTCGAAATATGGGAGCCCAGCGCTGGGGACAGACAAGGTAAGGAACTCACGGCGCAGACGGGAAAAACTCAGTAACTGCCATACAGTCATAGAATGAGACGGAAGTGTTGGCAATCACCACGGCACCAAACCTGAGCTCCACATTCACGGAGACATGGTCTGCAACATGGGGGAGAAAGGCGGAAATGAAGAGTGGGGAGGGGAGGGGATCCAAACGGAATGAGGCTAATACCCCAAATGGAGACAGGAACTAGGGTCGGAGAACAAAGTCCATAGGACATAGCATGGACAGACACTATGGGGTACAGAATCAAGTAAGAGGACTCAGAGCACAACCAGGGCTATGTCTGGATTCACTTTACATCCCAATAAAACCCGTTAAAGCAAAATTAAAGCAGGGTATGGCTCCCAGGTCCGGGGCTGGCCCCTTCTCTCACCCACCGGCTCCTCTCTGCAGCATCGGAGCCTCGCTAGGGTCTGGGGAGGGGCACATCACACCAGAACCAGTCAGTAGAGCAGGGCTTTGATGGTCTCCAAAGTAGCAGAAATACGATTCCCCTGGCCAAAGAGATGGCAGGCCTGGCACCGACAGGAAAACCTACCAAGAAAGCCAAGGGCATATCTGGACGCATTGGGTGGTATACCAGGGCACCAAGTACAGGCTGGCACTAGCACCCCATAGCCCTTGAGGCCTCACAAACACTCTGACCTTGACTATTACAGAGAGAAATCCAAGGACCAAGAGAAGTGCCTGGCAAGGCCCTGTGGTATTTCATGCAATGACAAAAATCCAAGGTCTCCATCCATCCCAGAGTTCTTCCCATTGGGGCCTGGCCTACTCCAGTCATTTACCTCCCTCTTCTCCTCGCGACTGATATTGGCAGGGCTCACAGCCACCACCTGAAGACAGCCCAGCTCCGACTGGAAACTCCACACCCACTGTTCGGGGCCCTGACCCCTTGTGCACTCCGACCGGCGACTGCATCTAAGAACCAACATGTAACCGTAGCGGTGTTTCATTTGTAGTTTAATCAATAAAGCTTATCTGAGGATCAGAAAAGTGAAACAGCCACACTGGCCAGCCTTACAGACCAGGCAGCAATGGCATACACCTTTAATCACAGTAGCCTCACTAGCTTGCCACAGAAACCAGCCGGTAGTGGTGCACGCCCTTAATCCCAGAACTAGAGAGGATTATAAAATGGAAGGAGACAGCTCTCAGGCTCAGTCTCATCCTGAGGTTTTCTGGAGGCGGGATCACCATTTTCAGACTGAGGTTGAGGTAAGAGCCAGTGGCTGACTGTTTTGCTTTTCTGACCTTCAGGTTGAACCCCAATTTCTGTCTCTAAGTTTTTATTAATCATGCTTCATGTAACTGTGACCCTCAAGCAGCCACCAAAAATTCACAAAGCAAATGCATCTTTAGGCCTGAGGCCCTGGTCACAGCTCTCTCATGGGGTTGATACCAAGCTCTTGAGTCTGCTGTGGCATGAGGGGAGTGGGGGAGATAAAGGGCAGTGGCAGGGCTAAAGGGCAGTGGCGGGCTATACAGAAGTCAGAGGTTGAGATTTGATGGACAAGGGTGGAAAATCTTGTAGGAAGCAGTTCCAGAGGCACAAGCCCAGATCAGCAGTTGGTGGAGCACTAACCTGCCCAGGAGCACACACCATCCACAATAAGGGTCCCTGTGGGCAAGGCAAGAGTCACAGTCCAGGCGCTGAGCACAAGGGGCCACAGGAACCTTCACAAGCTGTGACAGCAAAGAGGACCTGAGGCTGGCAATCCAAAAGCCAGTGGCTCACCCACATACAGGTCCCTGTACCTGCCCAGAGACCCCTCCCAGCAGTCATGCCCTAGCCTGTGTCTAGGACTTACAGTAGTCTGGGTCGCTACATACAGATGCTCGAAGGTACCATCAAAGGTAAGGTCTCTGCTCACGGCAGACCCCAGCTGGATGCTCTGGGTAGAGTACGGGGCAACACTTCCTCCAGGGCCTAAGTAGACCTACGATGAAAGACCACAAGTTCTGGCACCAAGCCGAAAGCCACAGACTCAAGACCTTCCTCCGCTTAGAACTAAATCAATTTATGAATTAGGGTTTTCTCTTTGGGCGAGTGTAGTGGGGCAGTCTTGAAACCCAGCACTCTGGAGGCAGAGACAGGCAGATTTCTATGAGTTTGAGAACAGCTTAGTCTATGTTCTAGGCAAGAGAAGTTATTACAACCAGCCTTGAGTAGGGTGTATGTATGTGGGAAGAATCATGGGTAAATATCACCTAACCCTGGGAGGAGCAGTATAAACCGAGCTGGGGCAGGGAAGGGAGGCATGTAGTATGTCACATGGCACACAGTTCAGTCTTGATACGTTCTAAGGATGTACCCTATGCAACTGTCCTTGACTGTCACCCAGGAAAGCGATGGTGTGTCCATCCTCTATGGTGACCGCCACAGCTGTTAGTTGAACCCCTGGCAGCTCCAGAATCGGGGTGGCTTCCAAAGGGACACAGCTGACCATGGGGCTGGGCGTGTGGTCTGAGCCACAAGGAAAAGCATCTGGCGTATCCTGCAGGTAGCAAAAAGCATCACTAAGACCCCACCTGGATAACCTCTGAGGACAATCTTCTCCTAAGCCTGAGCCTCCCCAGCAGTTCCACCCGGGCAGCACACTCTTACATCCTAAGCTTTACCTCGGTGCGGTTTCCAGTGGTTCCTTCTCCTTTTCACCCCCTACCCCAGCTGTGGCCCGTCTTCTGTCATCTCTTTCTTGGGAGCTACTGCCCCCAGTTGCTGCACTCAATACCATCTCCTGAGCCATGCCCTAAAGCTCTCGCAGTCTGGCTCCTCGTTCCCAGCACACTGGCCTGGGCCCTCTGCACCTCACTGGCTCAGTGAGTAGCGTTTTTCCATCTCTATCCTTCCTAGGCTACAGCCACACGAGTCTTGACCTGTCCTATGGCTCCAGAACCTAAAACTAGACGGCTCATCCCAACACTCTATCCTTACCCTTCAGCCAAACACTCTCATAAGCCAACTTCTGAGGTCCCTTCTTTAGCATCCTGACTCAGCCACTGCAATAAATGCGGTCTTCTTGCTCAGGCTTAAAAGGAAAGACCTAGCACCTGGACGAGAGTCACTCCACCCACTCACTCCCTGCTCCCCTAAGCCTTCCTGGGCAGGTGCGTGGTGGCAAACACCTGGACTCACCACTGGCAGCTGTGCACAGTCAGAAAGGACATCATACGCAATGTCAGCCACCTTGGTCCCATTCTCAGCGCGGCCTTCCCGGGTGTAACAGGCATCTCGAGTATAGTTAGCAAGCTGGTCTACCTCATCCAGGGGGAAGGCACAGAGCACAGAGGTTCCAGATGCCCCAGTAGATGCCGACAGGGGCCAGTCCACAGTGGGAGGAGCCACGGAGGAGAAGGCAGCAAAGAGCACATCCCCACGGGCCACCTCCTTGGATGTGGCAACAGCTGCAGCCTGGATCACACCATAGCGCCCACCCTGGCAGGCCAGGGGCAGTTCCACATAGGAGTAGTAATGCTGGTCCTGAAGGCACACTCGGGACACATAGGCACGGAAAGCTCTAGAAGGGGCCTTCAGGTCTCGCCGCAGGAACAGGAAGTAGGCACTGGCCCCACGTACAAAGGCACTCACAAAGTGGTGGCTGTACTCAGAGAGGCGGCCCACTGCCAGCTTGGCTGTCTCTTCATAAGAGAAGGCAGCTTGGGGGTCCGGAGGTCGCAGGGCCCGGGTTGTAATGGGAGGAATGCCACCGCCCACGCCCCTGCTGGTGTACCCCCGCCCCACAAACAGGAGCGGCTCCCCCGCCAATCCCTGGGCAACTAGTCCCACTGTGCTAACTGCAGGGTCATTTGCAGCCACATACTGGGTGTCCCCAGGCCTCTCTGGCCTCAGCAGCAGTTGCCCGATCTGTCCCAGGCTCCTTAGTTCACAGATGCCCTGGTGAACACTCCCACACACCACCAGAGCCTCTGGGCTGACCAGGAGCAGCTGGTTTGGGTTGTTAGTAGGCTGGGCTTGGGGACATTCGTCAGGTATCACAGGTGGCAGACAATCTCGGCTGTCATTCACAGGGCCTGTGGACACCACGGCTTCCAGCTGCAACCCTGGGCTCAACTGGAACAGGAAGTTGGTGGCCCCTACATAAAGGGTACCTGAGGTGGGGTCCCTTGCCAAGTGCTGTAGATGTGTGCCATTGGCAGTAAAAGCAGCTGGTAGAGGGGATTGTAGGGTGAAGACACACCCGGCCCAGAGCATCTGGAGAAGAACTGGGCCGAGGACAGGCATGGTCACCTGGTGGAGAGAAAGGCTGGGTGAGGCTCACATGGCCAGGAGGGTACTCAGAAGTCACTGACGAGGGACAGGCACTGCCAAGATGCTCTTCCTAACCTGGCTACGTAGATATTCCCAGTATCCACTAGGCTTAGATGCCCGGGGTGATCCCAGGACTACACACCTACCGAGGCAGAGACAGAAGACACTGCCCTTGGGAATCTCAACACTGCCCCTTCTCTGTAGACACTACGCTCTCAGGGGACCTGCACCTACCCATACTCCACCCTAGCTCCCCACTTGGTCTCCTTGTCCCTTCTAGACCCTGCTCTCTGACTCAAGTGAAGACATTTCTGAGGATGGAGAGGGCCCCCTCTGTATGGGCACTAGGTTCTTAGACAGGAGGAGGCGGGGTGATGAGGTCGTATGGACCACCAGCACGTCCTAACGATGCCAGAACTCGATGCAGGATGCGTGTGACAACACACGCCTTTGATACCACTCAGGTGGCAGAGAAAGGTGGATCTCTGTCACTTTGAGACCGGCCTGGTCTATATAGCGAGCTCCAGGACAGGCACATAGAGACCTTGTCTCAATACAACAACAAAATAAACAGATGAAGAAAAGAATTTGGACGCAGAGCCTTGCAGGAAAACAGGTGATAACCAATAGGCTATGTTAGATGGGTGAGGGCTGAAGGACAGGGCCCCCCACCTTGGGGAGCCCTGCGACAAGCACACTGTTCCCCATTAGGGTCAAGTCTGGCTCACCTGGCAGGGCTGGATGGATCAGGCGACAACAGCATGACCTGAGCAGGAGTCACCTAGCCAGTGGGGGAAAGCGGAGTATAAAACTGGGGGCTGGGCTGCAGGCATGCTGGAGCCCGAGACTCCCCTCTGCACTCCCCAGTCTGCCGGTGGAGCCCAGCCCAGCCTGGCCCTCAGCCACCAAACACATTCCACAGAGGACGCCTCCTCAGAGCCCACACGGGGAGGGGGAGGGCAGCAGAGCCAGGCACCCGAGGGGCCTGGGAAAGGTCAACTAGAAAGAAGCCCCATGGCCATCTGGGCCCACTCAGGCCCCTAGCACTGCGGTCCCTTCTCGGCATTCTTCCCATCCCACCCTTTGCTTTAACTCTGTTCTGTCACGGCACTCACACCAACCAGGGGTCACCCTAACCCAAACAGGTGCCAACACACCAGCAGGTACCACTCACATATACTAAGATGTATGCATACCACCTACCCTGAATGCACACATCTCCACACAAACACAGGAGCACGTGCACATACAGACATACACATAAATGATACATGCAGATATGACCTAGGCACACAGAAGATACATACACACAAACATATAGACACACACAACATACACACAAACATAAACACGCCACACAGGGCACACGTATCTATGTTCAGACACCACATGAAATCAGTCATACAAAGCTCTGCCCTCTACAGACACTGCATCGACACATCATACTCACCCACCAGAGACAGACACATCACCCACATCAGATACCCGCACATACAGACTCACGCACACTTCCCTGGTTCCAGCACTAAGTCCTAGAAAGCTGTGGAAGGCAGGCCATCTCCTGGAATGTTCTCTCCTGCAGGTTGTAGAGTCAGAACCCAGAGTGCAGTAGGAATGGTAGGCGGGGTATTCTGAGGGAGTCATCATGCCTGGCTGTGCCCTGCAGCCCAAATCCAACCCTAGGACCAACTCCCCAGACTCTGAGTGCCCGCTTTCCCACCTTGCAGGCCCCAGCTAAGGCTCCTAAATCCTAGACCTAAGTAGTTATGGCAACACTACCTTTTCCCAAATCCACTGGTCCTCAAGCAGGAACACAAAGTTTGGTTAGGTTATGGGGCAAACTATTCTACACTGAGGAACACTTTTTCCTCCTTGCCTGTGCCCAGGCCACAATGCCCAGCCCCTCCCACCACCTAGCTGCCAGGCTGTCTATGCAGAATGTTCCCAAAGTTCCCTTTCTTGCGCTTGGATTGGCCCATACTATCAGAGGCCTCAGCAGGACGCTCCTGAGGTTACCCTATCATAAGCAGGGCTGGGCACAAGGCTAAGAGGAAGGTCCAGCAGCCTGGTGGGAGCAGGGACGCTGTGGTCACAGCCCAGTGGGAGCAGGGGGCCATGGCCACAGTCTGGCTGGGCACTGCTCCCAAAATAGCTTGGGGGTTTCCATTTTTAGTGTGCAGAGAACAGGGCAGCTCTATGGGAGCGGGAACAAGGCTGCCTCTGTTTGCCACCCAAGGGGGTGTGAGGGAAGAAGGCAGCAGGGAAAGTCTTGAACCCAGCCAGAAGCCCAAGACTGTGGCAAGGCCAAGCTACTAAAGAGCCCCCCACCTTGTTTCCAAGGGATAGAGAGAACACATTTCCTCCCCTGGAAAGGCAGAAGCCACCTCTTGCACTGCTACTGCCCAACCTTCCCTTCCACCACCTTGGCCCACAGATGTGCCCTGGGCACAGGGTCCCATAGTGAGACCAGCATTTGCTGTTCCATTAGCTCGTAAATATTTGCTCAGAGCCTACCGCATGCCAAAGTTTCTCAGCCCTTAAGGGGCAGTAACAAAACCACTCCCCAAACTGAAACTACAATTGCATTGGGGGGGACACCGAGAGAAACGCGAGGGCTCCAAAGAGCTCAGCACACAGGTCAGAGGTTGACCCACTCGAAGGAACTACGTCAATAGGCCTACATACCATGGGCAAGGGCAGGACAAAGGGTAGTGACATTTCTCTCCTGCACGCGGCGGACAGATTTCACTTCTCTTCGGCTACTCGCCACAGAGAGACCCCTAGTCCCTCCGATCTAGGAAGGGCTCACTGGATTTTCTTTAAACAAAAATGGAGCGTACACACCCCTCAAGCTTTTGGGGTACCCTGGGTCTGGAGAGATGAAGGCCAGGCCCCTCTCGTCCACAACCACCCCCACAAATGCTCTTCGTTCCTGCTTAAACTGCAGGCTTGTTCTACTCCTCCCCGCCATCACAAGGGCTGTTCCCCAGGCCTGGAATGCCCACTCCCTCTCTCTCCCATTACCTCCCACACCCAGCCATCACCTCCCTGGAGAGCCTTCCTAGGCTTCCCAGGCTAAGGAGGTGACCCTGTGTGGTAGATGAAATGGACACACCTAGTCACCAGCCTCAACTTCCTTGGGCTCTGAGCCTCAGATTTCCATTGGTGGGAGAAGAAGCTGGACCACTCCGATCAGTAAATGTGGTAGAGCCCAGTGGGCCGCAAGACCATTTTCTCCCGCTGCAGCCTCCCTCTCTGGACAAGGCATAGAGTTCCCACTTTTAATTAGGAGACCCTAGCAACTGGCAAGCCCAACACAAAGCAGGTGTTCCCTACATGGGGAACGAGCCCCCATTTCACCGCCAAGGAAGGGTAGGGGTAATATGGAGCTTACACACTGCTTTCCAAGCCTCTTGGCCTCTCAAAACACGAGGGATTGGCCCAGTTTTATTAATGATCAGACTAGAGCAGGCTGAAAACGCTTATTTGGAGCCAAGCCTCACGCCCCTAACTTGCACTGCCAGTATCTCCTCCCAACTCCCCACATCTCAGACTCTGTCCAGGCTCATAGCCAAAGTCTAACTCTGCCTGTGCCCAGGCCTGCCCCACAGGCCTCTTCAGAGCCCACACTCCCTGAAACCTTCAGCGGGGCCCAAGACTTCAAGCGCCACCTGACCCCCACTCCTGCAGCTGCTCTAAGAGGGCTCAAATTCAGCCCATCCACACCTGTACATGTATTGTACCTTGTCTAGGAGTTGGAGTGGGAAACCGGCCTTCCCTCCCTGAGCCCCCGTCCCAGTTTTCACTTAAAGGCGAGCGTTACTCATTGACAGTGAAGTGGTGAGCATTGCACACCTGCTTTCTGGATGTTGAGTGGGGTAGAGGGATGCCATCGTTGACCAGACAACCGCGATGAATTAAGGGTCTCATCAAGCACCCGCTGGGTATGTCGGTACCAAGACCGAGTCCCAGAATTAGAAGACTCGTGGTCCCCCCTCCTTTGTCGGCCTCAGTCTGAAGGGTCTGTTACCCTATGGGGAAGCCTCCACTTGCCCGCTTCGGTTCATCCTCAGCCCTCCGCCCTCCACCGCGCCACGGGACAAAGACCCCACCAGTGGCCCTTGGAGGGCGGGGAAGGGGCCGGCCGGTCCCGACTGCGGCGGTGGCGGCAGCGAGGAGGGGGCGCGGAGGAGCAGCTCCACCTCCTCTATCTCCCAATCGCGTTACAGGCGGTGCCGCCAGAGTTTGCCTTCGCGCGCACGAGTGTGGTCTCAACTCTCTGGACCGAAGCCGCCCACCACTCCACTCGGG